TGTGTCAGCCCAAAACACAGCCATTTCCAAGCCAAAGGAAATGTCCCGGGGAGAGCCAGGATCTGGTTTCACGGTGCCTCCATGCCCCACCGACTGTAGAGGGGTTCCCAGGGGTCTCTGCACCCCAAGAGCTCTCCCAATCCTCTTGTACTGGGATCTGCAGGATACCCAGCTATGGATACAGGAGGTGGTGAGGACCCATGCCCCTCCTCAGCACCGCTCAGCCTTCACCCACCTTCCAGCAACTTCCTGAGCTGCTTCTCCTTCTTGGCGATCTCGTTCAGGAAGAGCTTGGAGTTGAGGTGGCCGATTTTGGGTGGGGGCAGGCTGCCACCTGTACAGTTCTGGGTCCTGTTGGGGACCGTGGGCAGAGAGGAGTGGTGTGAGGGACAAAGCACGCTCCAGGGAGGGTCAGGAAGCCCCCATGCCCCTTCCTGGGCACCCTCCCAAGGTCGAACCCCTTCCCCAGGGAGGCAGCACCAAGTGTAGTGGGCAGCCTGCCCTCCCCAATGGGTCAGTCACTTCGTGGCAGTACCTTCCTCATCCAGCCTTGCTGGGGATGTCCTCTGCCAACACGCACCCTCGCAGCCCCTGTATCCCCCCTGCATCACCACCCCAGCTTGCCCCGGCTCTGCGAGCGCTGGCTTTAACCCCAGGCCCTGGAGGGAGGAGGAGGAGAGCAGAGCTGAACACTGTGCCCCAGCCCAGCTGGCCCCACCCTGGCTGGGGTGCTGGGTCCCAGCTCTGCTCTTCCACAAACACACCACTGTGTTTTCCCCCAGTCCAAGGGGAGGACTTGATTCAATGGCTGCAGGAGAGGATTTCTAATCCTTCCAGAGAGGGACACAGAGGCACAGAGCACGCCTCTCCCAGGCCTTGCAGCATCCCTGGCCCTGCTCCTCCTCCAGACATCGTGCTGTTGCCACCCCCGTGACAGCCCCGCTTCCCCTTCGAACACGTCTATCCCACCGTGCTTACCTGTCCATTAAGATTTTCACAGACTTGGTGTTCTAGGAGGGGAAGGAGAAGCTCTAGTCAGTAAGGACAGTCCCTGCTCTGGTGGCCACCTCCCCTTTCAGTGTCACCTTCTGTGGCCTCCCAGGAGGGAACAGGCTGCCCAGGGATGACAAGCCCTCTCTCACCCCAGCACGGGCTGCCCCAGCGCCATCTCCAGCTGCAGCATGCCCTTATCCGAGGCCAGCGCTGAGCCTGCCCGCTCCTCCTTGCCTTCTCCCACTGCTGAGACCTCTGGAGGCATCAGCTAGCCCTGTCAGTGTCCCCAGCCCACTCCCCGCCATGCCCCACACCTCCCTGATGCTCCCGCACAACCAGACCTCCCTGTGGCCCCCATCCAGACAACCCTGTGGTCTCCCAGGCCACCCCTGGCACAGGCAGCTCATCTCACCTTCATGAAGTTGATGTCCTCGGTTTTGTCAAACATGACCTGGACAGAGCTGAGGAGCTTCTTGGCCTCCTGCATGCGCTCGTTGAGGTGGAGGACCTGGGCTGCGTTCTCGTTGCAGAACTTGGCCTGGGCCTTGTCCAGGATCTCCATGGTCTTCCGCAAGTCCTCGTCCAAGATCTGGTGCATCTTCTCGTACTGCAGGCGCACCTCGTCCTTCAGCTGGCTAACCTTCTCCTGGGAGAGAAGAGCAAGGTTGGCCCCTGTGCACCCTTCAACCTCCACAGCAATGCTCCAGGACACCTGGGTCTCTTCCCCAGCAGGGGTGGGTGTGATCCGAGAGCTGCACCACAGCTCTGCTCTCCTGCAGCACCCACACAGACCAAACCCTGTCATCAGCTGCCATGCGGGACTTCTACACGCCGGGCATGCAGCAGGGCCACTGTGGAGGTTTGGCTAATCCAGCAGATCCCCTGGACCTACCCCCTGTGGTCTAGGTGGAGATCGCCTCTGGAAAGCTGATGCCAAGCAACAACCTGCCGCATCACTGAGGCAAGTGTGCTGCCCTGAAAAACCCTGCCCATGCCCATCCCTATCCCCATCCTCGTCCTCATCCCTGTCCTTATCCCCACCCCAGGCTGAGGTCACGTCATACTCCAGAGCCCTTCCCTCCATGCTTTGGGAGGCCGAGGGGCTTTAAAGACCATGAGTTGATCCTGTTTTACCTGTGCCCCAGCAAAACACCCACTTGCATCTCTTCCACCTCTTGGGTATTTCAGTGGTTTACTTGGGGATCTCCCATCTCCAGACCCTCCCCTCCCACTCGGGCTGAAAAGGGTGGCTGAGGAAGGCTGTGCTGAGCTGAGGCAGGGAGGGCCACTTGATATATAAGGACAGCCTCATTCCTTGCCTTTCAACTCACCCCAGGACTCACAAGGCTGTAGGGCAGCCCCAAACACGTTCCATCTCCCTAAAGTATGACTGCCAGGACAGGAATGGAGACAAGTCCAGCCAGTCACTCTCCCCTTGTGTTTCCTCCCAGCCCCTATGCCGTGGGAGCCTGTCCCCATCATGCCATGGGGCGACAGCCCCTGGGGCTGGCCGCAGCAGGGTGAAGCACCAATTACCTCGACCAGCCGCTTGTCTGATTCCAGCTTGTAGAGCTGCTCTTCGATGTCTTGCTCCCGCTCCTCCAGGCGGTCCTGCTGCTTCATCAGCATCTTCTACAGAGATGGGAGAGCAAAGCAGCTGTCAGAGCCCAGTGGCCACAAGCATCGGGAAGCTTCGGTGCTGCCTGCACCGGTTCTGCCCACGTGGTTTGGAAGGGACAGGGCTTTTTCCCAGCGGGATGCCATCGCTGAGCTGAAAGCCCACATGTGGCTGGTGGAAGTGGAAACCTCGCTATTTCAATAGCCACGCAGAGGGGCTATGTGTGCTGGGCTGCCTTATCAGCCAGGGACCTTGATTTGGGTCCCCTGGATGGGGGTAGCCCCTTGCCAAGCCCTGGGGATCCTGTGGGGGACACAGAGAGGCTCATCTCCCACTACAGCAGCACTGTTACAAGGCCCATCACCCATCGCCAGCAGGCTCCTGTGAGACACCGCTGCCCCCCGTACGCCACTCCAAACACTTTCTCCCTTCCCTGCCTCCATGACAAGCCCAAGCCCCAGAGCCAGTGTCAGTGTAATCGGGAGGGACAGAGAAAGGAGGAACGGGGCCTCCCCCCGCCACGCTGCCAGCCCCAGCTCCCACTTCTTGGGGCTGGGCCTGGGCCATCAGCCTAAAAACTGGGACAAAACATTATCCCCAGCTATCGGCGCGAGCGCCTCACTCCTGCGTGCTTCCCCGGCCAGGATGAAATCCATTACCCATGAGAGAAGGGCTCCGTCCCTGCGAGCAGGGGCAGGACTTCCCAAAACGCCCCTCAAAATCAACTCCTAATCTTCCTCCCCAGGCAAAAATTTTTTCCAGGGGAAAGCCACCATTCCAGTGGGTGAGGAGAAGGGTTTCGCCTGGCATGGAGACACAGTGTTAGAGGCTCTCAACGACAGGGGCAAGATGGGAAGAAACCAGCAGCGAGGATGAATTTCGAGGGGATTATTGCTATTATAAACCGCCGCTCGGGGATTTATAATCAAGTAATTAATTCCTGGACGAGGCGGGAGGGGGAGGGTGGCAGAGGCGCTGATGTCACTGCAGGGAACGGCTGTCCCCTCCAACTCAATTTGAGAGCAGAAATGCGAAGCCTCCTCCCTCCCGTTGTTTTTCTTAAGGTCTCGGGCACCTACAGCCTCGCTGCCGCTGGGCTCCTATCACCAATAACAACGAGGAGCTAAAAAAACCCGGCTTCCCACTCACATGCGTTCCTGGTGCACACGTGTGCGCACCCACCCGCACACAGACACACAGACGGACACACAGACAGCACATCCACGGAAACAGGGTCTGAAGGGCAGCAACAACGATGTGGACCCCCAGGCGTGGGGGGATGTTCGCTGGCGCGTGCGCACAGAAACAGACGCGCCTGCAAGCATCCAAGGGCATTGCTGCTGCTGTTTTTAAGATCAGCTGAGTAGGTGGGAGCGTCCATACAGAGAAAAATTCGATGTATACACTAAAAATCTCCTTCTTTCATCATAAAAGGGTCGTTATTTGCACTGCTGCGGTGCACAGAGGCTGCAACCTGCTCCCGGGTTAAATACAGGGGGGAACTGAGCTCCAGAGAGCGGGTGCAACACCACTTGCACAGAGAGAGCCAAGGGCGCAGGCAGGAATCACATCCCAGGTCCTGCACCAGCAGCTGGGCCAAGGCTTGAGGCTGCTGGTGGCTCTTCTGGGGGCTCAGCTGGAGTTTTAGGGGTCCAGCATCAGGCAGCGCTGGGGGGCAGGCGTCATAGGCCCGTTGCACCGGGGCAGCGAGGCGGCAGGCAGCAGCCTGCTCCGGCAGTGGCGCCGGCAGGTGCATGTCAACACGGCCTGCTCCCAGGCACTGCTGGCTGAAAACACAGTTTGCAACATCTCTCTGCACGGGCCTGGCATGGAGCACAGCGCACCCGGCTCTGGGTCCTGCCCCAGCATCCACAGGCTGGAATTTCCACACTGATACCACAGTCGACTGATGGGAAAGCCACCCAATGTCATCCTGCAGCCCTGCTTGCAGGAGGTCAATGGAGTCCAAGGGCCAGGGCAGGTCTCACAGCACAGGCTGTTTCTCGCTCTCCAAACTGGAGAGCCAAAAGACATAGCGAGCCTTCGCACCAAGCCC